GGTGCCCCTGGTCTGCTGGAGACGGTCTCCAGCAGACCAGGGGCACCGGAGCAGCTTACGAACGGGGCTTTCTCGCCCCGTTCGTAAGTGCGGATCCGACATAAGTCGGATCCGCGTAAGTCGGGGACTGCCTGTACTTAAGTGACCTTATTTTCAGATATGCTGAACACCAGTAACTCTATACCAGAGGAATTTCACAGGCCTAAGAGAGAGATGGATATTATGACTACTATATTTATACAGCTCTTTTCATTACATAATACTGTCATTGTTTCAAGATCTGATCGCTCATGATCTATAAGGTATAAAATTAAATGTTATTCCTTTTCAAAGTGTGGTTTCCCTGATAAAGTCACAATATATTAGATTTTTAGCTGGTTCCTGGTCTGACATTGAACATCTCAAACATAATTCTTCTGTAAAGTACATGGTATGTGCAGTCTATATATTGGTGTGGTTTCATACGAAAGTTTATTTTGGAATGAAGTGAACAGCTTACTAGTGGATTCCACTACTCACAAAAAATACACAATTAATAGATTTACATATTTTGCCAATGAGAGAGAAAAGAAAATGAGATGAGATAAAATAACTATATGTGGTCTATTGCAGATTGTTCTTAAACTTAATTTAAACTTTATATATTTGGCTTATAGATGTATACTCACCACACACCCTTGAGCCACAGAGTAAATTAAGATCACAATAAAAATACACAAAATGGTACGAATTTGTATTGTCAGGCACCCTGGAAAACACTGAAGGAGAAAAAAAAAGATAATAAAATAAGGATATTTTAAATCTGAATCATGTAAAAATGGGCACATTATTGTTTACAAGGTTAGGATGTCAAATAAAGTAGGGAATCGATATATGAATTCTGCCTGTGCTGTAGATTGCAAAATGATAATAAAATAAGAAATGAGCACAAATATGTTAAGGTCAGATGTATTTTCTGCAACAAAAAGAAAACAGATTTGTAAGTAAATTCTCACTATTTTAAAACTGATTTATTTTATTTTCCATATGATTTCTGTGCACAATAAATGCAATGAATTATAATGCATTTTATAACTATAATTAGCATTTTATTCTGCACATGCAATGAGACAAAAAACAAACACCATAACTGTATGGTTTGAAAACTGTCAACTGTCGATAGCAACCTAAGATTTCAGACCATACATAACTCATAGAATTTTGTAGTAATATTTCCAGGAACAGTGAATACCAGCTGAGTTTTAATTAATAGAGCCCATATTTAAAAAGTAATCTAATTTGTCAGGCTAGGGAAAAAAGCAGTTTTGAGCAGTGATGGTTAATAAAGGAAGAGGCTTAAGCATCTGAGCACTTGCCCTCAATACAATTGAAGTTCTGGGGTAGAAGGTGGGAAAGGCAGGATTACAGTTTACCTGGAATTTGCACTCATGCTGGGTTGAGTTATACTGATCTTTTTGGTGAGCTGCTTGCTTCCTTGTTGTCCCCTTGGCTTGCAAATGAGTGGCAAATTTGTTATATGTAGGACTTGATCCTGCACCATTCAGGTTTTTTCCCTAGTGACTTGAATGGGAGCAGGATCAAGACAAAAGGAGCTTCAGTGGGGGAACATCAGTGTGTTTCTAAGAGAAGAAAAGTGCTTAGCTCCCATCTGGTCTAGATTTGGCTTAGGCCAGAGAAGAACCAATTTTTGTATGCCTGCTGGTAAATATATGTAAGCCTGTTTGGTGTGGTCCTTTGTCCTCCTCTAGTGGTGGCGAGGCCAAGTAAAGTTAAATTTGCCTGCTACAGCCTTGGCTACAGCTTTGGCTAACAGCTGTGCATCTTCTGGCTTAGGCATCTTTGATCCCCATGGCTGACAATTCAACCAGAGGTTACAAGTACTGCCCTGTCCCAGATATTGAATTACTCTGAAGCTCAAGATGCGCTGGGTAGGCCAACCAGAGACTAATGAGTCTTCCCAATTAAATTGGATTACATATGATATCCTCCTAACTACATGAGGAACAGAGAAAATACCATGTTCACCTCACTGCAGAGTACCACAAAGAGGCATCTGAAGGAACAGCTAGTATTTCTTGGAACCCTAACCCTGGTCTTCTTTTCACATATGGAACCATGGACTCACAGGGCTGTGTCACCTCTAAGCATAAGTCTAGGCATGATGGTAACAGAATGTATGAAAGGTGATTGCAGCAGAACTGTACTCATCTGTATTGCCAAAAACACAGGAATAGCTCATTAAGAACACCAAAAGAGCAAAACAAAACTTGATTCGTATTATGTGATCCTGAAATACATACATTCTAGCTACAGTGTGGACAAAGGGGTAAAAGTCCACATGGATATGACAAGATAAACCATTGTTATAATATCAATAATAGATTGCTATATACATGTTTAAAAGAGAATGGGATAGTGAGTACAATAAAATGTCAGGAATCAATAAGATCATCTGTTAATATCATTAACATATGATGGAACATCTGTGATATAACCAATAAAATAATACTTCTACTGTGGAGCAAATTTTTTCTACAGCAGTAAACGTGGTCAGAACACAGCATCTTTACACATTGTCCTCTATGTTGACAAAGTTGCTTCTCTAGCAACTGCTGATATTACATATGGAATTTTCCATTTCTCTGTTTTCCAACAAAGGGTTCAATGAGTGAGTTGCTGTATACTTTTGTTGGGATTGTCATTAACTCAAACAAGAGCAGTGGTATACCTTAAGTTTATATTAGCTTCGAGGGACCTTAATAAAGGGAACGGTCTCCTACAAACTGCATGAGTTGGACCTACTGAGGCTTTTTGAGAAAGACTAACAAAATTAGTCCCAAGTAATTGTGTAAGTTTGTAAATAAAGATTTGCTTTTTACCAACTACTCTGCTAATTAAACTATTTATGTTTCCAAGAAAACAATTCTTCTCCACTAACCGAAGGGAATTTTTCTTAATTTAAAACAATTGCGTACTAATCAGCAGAGCTGATTAATTGTGTTGGTATTTCCCCCTGATCTTTATTTGAGAATATCAAATGAAGACTAATCCAGTAAGGACTTCTTTTCACTGGAAAAATTAGTCTCTGCAATCCTTACCTTATTAAGGAAACAATTTTCTCTTTCTGAAATGTGCAGAATGTCTTTCTGGCTATGTCTACACTGCAGGGAAAAGTTGGAAAAAAATACGCAAATTGCAAACTGCAATTTGCATATCTTTTTCCATTTTTCGTCTGAAAGAGGCTTTTTCAACATTTGGTCCATCTACACGGGACCAAATGTCGGGAAAAAACTTCTTTCGGAACATTCCTTCTTCCTCATAAAATGAGGTTTAAAGGGATGCCAAAAAAATGCATCTGCTTTTCCAAAAAATGTTTTGGAAAAGCAGACACGTTCATTGGATGCGGCAGAGCTTTTCCTGGGTTCCTCTGGTATCTCAGAAAAGCTCTGCAGTGTAGACATAGCCTCTGCTGTATTGCCATGTTGAAAATGTCATACCGAATAATTAATCAGCACTACAAGTTTGAAAAGGCCAGAGTTTGTTTCTATAAGACACTATTTCATTGAGGTCAACAGGAGCTTTGATGGGTGGATGAACAAAGAGTCTGGAAAAATTGGAAGACTGGCACGGTGTTCAATAGGGCATAACAGGAGAAACATTAGACCCAGAGTTTACCAGTATTACAGTCAAAGGCTATGTTTATGCAGTAACCATGATCCTGAAACTAGCACCTGCAGCAGCTTTGTGGCATAAATACAGAATGCTGTTCTGGGGAGAGAGATAGAGAGAGCTGGGGAGAGGGCAGCCCGAGCTGGGGGAGGGGTTCAGAATTTGCCAGGAGGGGGCAGTTGGACAAAGCTATAAGAGAAGAAAGAGGGAAGGAAAAGAAGCTAGATGCTGAGCTAGTGGATGAACCAGAGTTAGGGTGCGAAGTGAGATGATAAAATAGGAGAACAAAAGCTGGGGACTAGGAAGTAAGAAGGAGGAAAGAAGGAAGATAGGAAAGGTTTTTGGCCACGAGAAGCAAAAAAGCAGAAAAGAAAGAGACGGAGGCATGTGAGCATACACTATCCAAGAAGAGAAGCAGAGGATCTGCAGACATACCAGAGAAAAAGAAAAGGGAAACAATTGAAAGGAACTATAATTGGTGGGAAAATAATCTCTCTCTATAAAAATATTTTTCCTGCTAGACAGAATGTTCCTGCCGGATGACAGAATGGCGTCATCACATCATCAGGTTCTCTCAGTGAAGTGAAAGCGGCCGGACAGAGGGGGGTAGGCAAGCATAGCGAGCAGAGGGTGCAGCCCCCTATTGTTATATGAAAGTAGATCCTAAAACAATAAATGAGAAGCTCACCCACAAACCACCTGCAGTCTATGAATAGAGAGAATGGCTATTTGACTATCTATTGATGAAATAAAGTCCAGAAGTACCTAATGGACAAGAGAGGTGGGCCCATTGGGTGAAGAATAACTTGGGGACAGACCTGGAGAAAAGAAGTATAGCCACAGGATCATCACTCTAAAGATCATTTCAAGTGGAAGAGAAGCAAAGAACAGAGTAAAGCAAAGGAAAAAAGAAACTGATTCCTCTCTGAAGTGACACAATGTATTTCATAATTATATTTGTATTTGTTAATAATAATGTGTTTGGTATTAATTACACAGAGTACAGAAGAAGAGCACCTCCAGCCTCACAAAGGTCAGTGTGTTTGGTAATCTCTAGTTTATCAAAGTAGTAAGTTTTTGGTAATGTTTTACATTAATTTATGCTTCTGGTACAATTTGGGGGTTTTCCCCTTAAAGTTTTACAAATTTAAGATTAGCCCTTTCTCATAGTTTGCTTCTGCCTCTCCTCAGTTAGCCTAGCCAGGTCATTGCAGTCACAACGCACTTGCATGCTGAAGTGACTACTCAGGGTTCCAAGAGGTTTGTACAGTAGGTAGGTCTACTCCAGCTGCCATCACACCTTGTAACTGCAATATTGTCATTCCTTTAGAAACCAGTCAGAAGGGAAGGGGCTTCTTGAGTGTTGAGCAATTGCCAGGGAAGAAGTCAGGTCACAACACTCAGTTTGGTGGGTGACAAAGATCGAGAGAAGTGAGATGCTACAGTTAATGAAATAATGGTGTTATAAAGAGTCATGTGCCACTCTGCTCAAAAATAAGTGTAGCAGAAGGAAAGAGACATTTTGAAACTCAGTCAGCCCAAATTTGTTGGCTCTGTTGGGAGTTTCTAATGTGTTGCTTTGCTACAGATTTGAAAAATACCCAGTGTGCATCAGGCTATGAAGAGCACGTTTGTGTCACGTTACAAATAACTACAGGTTGAACCTCTCTAGTCTGGCACCCTTGGGACCTGACTGGTGCCGAGCCAGTGAATTTGCTGAACCATGGAAGGTCAATATTGTCTGGTAACATTACCAACACTTTCACTGCTTACCAAGCTCTTAGAAGACATTTAGAAGTAAATTAGAGCTAAAAAACTTCACACAACACTGAGAGCCAGGACTGGTGGCTGTAAACAATCTTTATGGAACCATGAGAAACTTGGCAACACCCATGGTAAGTGGATATCTGGCTAACTAATATCATGCAGAACCATGGATGTTGCCAGACCACAGAGTGTCTGATTGCAAAGGTTCAACTTGCACCACCAAATACAATTTCTGAAGGAAAAGGTAGCAAGAAGACTCAAATCACTTACTTGTACTTGTGTGACATGTAGGTACATAATACAAGCCACTAGGAAGCATATGCAGAACACCAGGAGGACAAGGACGACCGTACTCCTGCAAGGAAAAAAACCCATAGCAGTTATGCAATGAAACCAAACTGTATATCTGAGCTAGCTGTATTCATGTTTTTCTAATGCCATTTGGTAGATCAGAGCAATGCAAGTGGGATTTTCCCTCCTAATCAATGTTCCCTCTAATCTTTTCCATACGTATGCAGATTTTTTTCTATCCATGTGTGGAATAAATTTTATGTACATCAAGGCATGTGCAAATGTGCACCACCAGTAAAAACAAAAACCCAGCTGTGGGTGCTCTGCCAATCAGCTGGGGAGCATTTGAACTTCTCTTGAGCAGCTGCACAACTACATAATTTATAGGGAATACAACATAAAACAGGCAGACACAGAGGGAATTCTCACATTTTAAAAAAAAACACTTCTTAGTATTGTGCTGCCTGAAACCCTTTAGTGAAGTTCTCAAGAATCTGGTAATTTCTCTACATATAGTATCTATTAGGAACCTAACAAGGGACCGCACAGTCTAAGAGCCTCAACTGTATTATGTCTCAGGGATTTATATTACTTTTTAATTGCAGGTTAATACAGGATATCCTGTACTACATCCCTTATAAATAAAGAGTCTCTCCTAATTACTTAGCATTCAGGGCCTGGCTCATACATAATGGTTATCAGTTCCTCTCTTGTTAATTCTCTGGAGAGAATGATGAGTTATAAAGATTAGAGGTTTTCCCACTTGATTACTTACCAAATCAGACCTTAGCTTCTCCATTACAGCTGTTCTATACAATGCAAACAGAAAAGTAACAGATCTCATCCCTGAGAATTCACCATTCACAGGGGAAAATTGGATACTGCAGGAATTGCTACAATAACTCGTGCGTCAAATTTCTTTCCAGTCCCCAAAGCAGGATATAAGACTAGGAGAAAGGAGGTATGGCCAGGCCTTCGTATACCTTGCGGATCTTTGGTTGCTGGAATAGTTCTTTGGGTATGTGGCCAGCCAGGTATAAGTTACAGCATCCATTCAGACATGCTAATTTATGCACGGGCCAGGCTGATCCTTGGCAAGGCCCAGGATCAAGGGAGCCCATCATGTCTAAGTCTGTGCTCTTTATTGTTACCGCCAAATCATTCTTGCTCTGATACAGTTTTGAAATGCAATAGTGGAAGTAGATAGTGGCTGCTTTGCCGCAGAATTTCTCCAAGTCACTATATGACCCCAATAAATATCCTTGATTAAAAATTTAGAGAAGCCTTCCCATACTACAAAGACTTTTTTTTTAAATTGTGAGAGACTCAAGTCTAGCTGGAGGTATGCCCTTTGGGCAAGAATTACTGCTTACTATGTGACTGTACAAAGCCTGGCATAATGGGGCTGTAGTAACAGATTTGGCAATTTCCTACAATATATTTTTGGGGATTATAATTGTATTTATTATCGTGGGCCAGAGATTGGGAAAATCACCATCCTCCATAAACTAAGAAGTGGACAGAGAGGGGACTAGGCAAAATTACTCAGGTTGTAACAGTTTACAAGAGGTACCATAGCCAAGAGAAGCTTCCATGTACTGGATTTGCTAGAGACTAACACAGGTGGAAAAAAGGACTTTTAGATAAATAGCCTGAATTTACACTGATTCAGGACCTGATTCTGATCCAGCAAACTGACAGAACCTTCTGTCCAAGGGAGCTCCAACCATTCTTGTGAAGGATTCGACCTATTCATGGGGTGTTCTTGTCCTGAGAAAAACCTATAAGTCTAAACCAATTTGTAGGGTTCAAAGGATTGTTTGCCTACCAGAGCCCAAACTGGAGTTTGGGTGATCTTTGGTAGGCTTTTATTGTTTGCAATAGGTTTTCTCTGTAATCCTTTTATCTTAAGAATAAATATGCTTGTTTAAAAACAGCTGCGTGGTATCTTAAGTATGGATAGTTATGATGGTTATAGCCTCTTGGGAGAATCATTCTGACTGGCTGGGGAATTCACAGTATAGGCTGGGAACTGTGCAGCCTGGAAACATTCCGGTCAGGAGGAAAAGAGAGACACATGACTACATCCAAAATGTATAATGGCTGATGAGCCAGCAGCCTAAGATCGGGTGCCCTTGCTGAACCACAGAAAAGGAACAAAAGTTCAGTTGCCCTAAATTGTGATATCCTGGATCTGTAGATGCCACTGCAATATAAATATTTAATAACAGTGGTAGAAAGCAGGTGCAACCATTCTTTTAAGGCACTGGCTTGTATAAGGTACAAACTCAGACCACCTCAGCTGGGAGAGCTGCATCACCTAGTAAGGGGGAAAGCATACAGTCTCCTCCCTAGTTGGACAGAGAAATTAGACAGGATCATATAGCCTAACTTTGCCCCAATGGCTTTGGGGAGGCAAGCACCAGTTGGTCTGTGAAGTCTTTTAGTGCAATTGATCACAAGGATTTTGAAAGTGACAGAGCTATGTGACTGTGTCCTTATATTCACAATACTATGAATAATTTGGTACAAAGTCTGGCATGTAAGGTGTCATTTGAAAACTGAACATTCTGGAATGTTGCACCTCCATATTCTTTATACTTTTGAATATGAATATGCCTAACTGAAGCTTGTAAATCTCTGAATGTGTATATTTTATTTGCCTGCATGTATCATTCCTGTATTTGAAGTTAGAAATATGAAGTATAAACCTGTTTATCTATCTAGATGCGCTAATGAAGACCATTAACAGTACTCAAGGAACTTAATGGTCTGCTACTCAAGACAATGATCTGTGAATAGTCTTGATCTTCCTGTAAGCCTGGACTATGGTTAGTCCTGCCGAGATATATGGCAGGTCACCTGATACTGGAACACATGTTTGGATATAGTACTTTTCCAGGAGAGTGTGAAAGGTTTAAAACCGAACACAAAGGATTCCCATATTGGGCAAAATATATTTACAGGTAGGAAACCAAACAATAGGGACAGTTGCTAGACACCAAGATACCCCCCGCTAACCACCAAGATCACTGCTAGAAACATCTAAGACTGAACATGGGGAAGGACCATGCCCAAGCTAGGGGTCTGCCTAACTTGTGAGAAAAGTTGATTAAAACTGTTAGGGTATCTTAAGAGTATTAAGTATAGCTGGCATGTTTTGTTTTATTTAGCTTAGTAACTTTGGGATCTTTCTGTTATCACTTGCAACCAATTAAATCATACTTTTCAGATTTAATAAAATCACTTTTGTTAATTATTAATCCCAATGTAAATAATTGTTATCTGCGGGATTGGGGGAGGTCAACAGTTGTGCATTTCTCTCTCTCTCATTGATAAAGGGAGTGAACAACTTATGAGCTTGCACTCTATCACAAAAAATTATGCAGAGCAAAATGGATTTATCTGGGGTTCTGTTCTCATTGCAGCTGTGACGTGCCCAATGGCACTTCAGAAATCAGTGGCAGAGGAGAGGATTCAAACCCAGGTTTCCCAGGTCCTAGACTAGGGTTCTGAGAGAGGCAGCAAAGACCCTGTGACTGAGACTTCCTAGAACGGAGCTGCTTTTAGAGTCTCTGTTACTCTGCTGTGGGCTGTGACCCCAACTCTATGCCTTTGATGTGAGGGAACAGAGCTCCTGGCTCAGCTGGACAGGGTGGTGAGGGGACCCAGAGAGAAGGTACATGGACTCAGGGGTATTATCAGCCCATCAGGTGAGAGTTTCAAGGAGATTTCATAGACCCAACCCATGCTACATTCCTATCCTGGTAAATTGTATGTGGCAACACTGTATATACATTTATGACATTCTACTGTATAAGATATGTTCAAAGTTTAGAAAAGCAGGCACAAACCAGTTCCTTAGAGACAAAAGGCACACTAATGCCTCAGTGAGGTGTTAAACTCAAATAGACTATCGCCAGTTTAAGTGGACACTCTTTGGCAGGAAGAAGGCTGTAAGTGAGAAATATACAGGTTGGCAAAGAAACTGCTGGAAGCTCCTGTCCCACAGACTTGTTGTTGGCTGAAGCCCAGCTGGAGAGGATGTTCAAAGAAGAGAAATGCTACAAGAAACTCCTCAGATTACCTCTCCCACTTCATCTCAACTTAAAGCAACAACTCAAAAGGCAAGAGAAGTACTGCTAGATCAGGCAGTGATACCAGCTGCAAGATTCAGCCAGTAAAATGTTAGAATATGCTATGGCAGAGAATTGTTGTTTTCAAATCACTTTTACCTGTGTGTTGTGTTTTACCTTTTATTTTCTTGTAGCTGAATTCTGATGTTTGTGCCTCAATACTTGTAATCACTTAAAATCGATCTCTTGTAGTTAATCAACATGTTACATTGTTTTATCTAAGCCAGTATGTGGTCAGATTGCAGTGTCTGGGAAACTCCATTTGAGATAAGTTTTGTGCAGATTAAATTTCTAATCATGAAACACCAGACTTTATATGAGCTTTTATTGTGCACAAGGGTGTGACACAAGATGCATATTTGGAAGGTGTGGGGGACAGGGACTGGTGTCACTCTGCAGTATGTTTCAAGCTGGCTGAGTGAAGCACTTTTGGGCTGAGTCCACATTGGCACGATCTTGAGCCAAAGTGGCCACTTTTGCGCAAAAACATGCTGCCTGTCTACACTGGCAGGGAGTTCTTGCGCAAGAACACCGACGTTCTAATGTGTGAAACCAGTGCTTCTTGCGCAAGTACTATGATGCTCCCGCTCAGGAATAAGCCCTCTTGCGCAACTGGCCAGTGTAGACAGGCAACATGAATTTCTTGCACAAGAAAGCCCGATGGTTAAAATGGCCATCGGAGCTTTCTTGCGCAAGAGAGCATCTACACTGGCACAGATACTTTTGCGCAAAAGTACATCTCTTGCGCAAAGGCACATGCCAGTGTAGACGCTCTCTTGAGCAAATACTTTAACGCAAGAGTTCTTGCGTTAAAGAGTATTTGCGCAAGATCATGCCAATGTAGACGTAGCCTTGCGGTATAAATGGGGACAAATTTACATGTGAGAGACTGTACGAGTGCAGAGAACTGAGGGGGCACAGCTCTCCAACACTCCAGATTGTACCTTGTGAAAATATCACAACCCTTTGATAGGCAACAGAGTGAGCAAAGGCTCCTTCTCTGTTGTGTTCTAATGCAAAGACTGACCAGAATGTGTCTCTTAACACAGAGAAGTAACTTGAAGTATTTGTTATTGCATGTCCCTCCCCCCCGGGAATATTTCTCCTGTTAGATTCATCAAGCGTTTTGATGCTTTGCTATTTTTTCACTCCTGTTTCAACAACATAACCTACATCCTTCCTTCCTGTATTTGTCTCTACTGACCAGAATCTCTTTCATCATTATGGGCTGATTGGCAATTTAAATACAATTCCAAGTCAGAAGTGTTATGGGTTAGGGAATCAGGCCTTTCCTAGCAAGAATTTGTGTCTTCCAAGGTTCAGAATTGGTGGGCTGTGATTTTGTCACAACCTTCAAAGGAACTGCCCTACTCAGTAGTACTCAGCAGAAACACTACCCAAAAACCCTCCTGTGGATCTTGCAGGGAGTAGTACTAGTGATTTAGGAAGTGCAACTTTTCGGTTTAAATCAGTAATTAACCAGTGCAATACCATGGCGTTCTGCAGTGCTGATCAGCTGGTGGTCTGTCAGATTCAATGTTAAACTGAAGGCAAGAGCAGACAGTCACTAAATAACTATGCCCCTTTCTATAAGAGCCAATATCCAATTACCATTTTTTGTCCCCTTAAATGAATTCTCAAGTTCAAATTGCATCTGCTATATTAGACCACTGCCTGTCCTAAACTTCGATATGCTGCTGCTGGGCTTTACTTAGTTTTCTGCTTTTTTGTAATTGGTTTTGAAATCCTCAGATGAAAACTGACATGATCCTTTAAAGTACAGCATTACTATTTCAACCACAAACATGTTACAAGATTTTATATCACAGAACCATATTAAACTACAAGAAAACATCCTGACTGGGAAAATTTAGTATGAGATCACTGAATTAACAGTTAAATGCGGGTATCATAAGGCAGAGTTTCTCCTTATGGTAGCAGGAGTTCACTTCCACAACCACAATCTCTCTTAGGCAAGAGTTTATTGTCCAAATTTAAAAGCCAGTCAAAAGCACAGGTTTCCAGCTCACCCTTCTCATCTTTCATTGCCTTTCTTCCCAGGGGACTCTGGCAGTCCCACTCTCTGCAGCTAGCTAGCCCCTTCCCCCCTCTGCTAGTTCTGGTCTTACAATCAGCTTTTCACTGGAACACTGCCCAGCCTTTATAATCTCAGGTACAGCCCTGACCTCTTAATTGGCCTACTAGGAACACCTGCTGTTGCAGGAGCCTGCTACGCTGACAGTGGGATATTCAGAAGCACTCAGCCTTCCCTAATGATTTTGATGGGAACAGAGTTAGCCTAATGTTGAGTGTTTCTGAAAATCTTAACCTTAAAATGGCTATTGTAAAAAATAATAATAATAACTTTAAAATAATTCCTCCCACTTGCTGACTATAATAACTCCTTGGAAACTTGACACTGATATCATATCTGCTGCTTTACCAATTAGAACCAATTCACACAAGTACCATTTAACTACTTAAATATATGAATTAGTCCTCCAGCAAACATACAATCAAAGGACAATGATACATCACAAAATATTCCTGGCTCTTTTATTTCTTAAAGGCAGCTTATTTTTAAATACTTATAAGACTTCATAGAAAATCAAGTTAAAAGTATTAGAAATATGAGACCTTGCTGTTGTTCTGGTAAAACTTTGCTGAGAACTGAGGAGAGATCAATATTTTGTGTGCAGGAATTATTAGCCAAAGGCTAAGCAATATCCCATTTAGAAAGTTTCTTCTATATTTTTCTTCATGCATACTTTACTTGTTTGCTATTAAAAGATTGCGTATCAGAGGTAGCAGGCTGGTAACATGAAATACTTTCAGAATATCTCTTCAAATGTCTTTTGTTGTTTAGGTTCTCATTTCTCCTGCTTAGTTACAGGATCTAGTAAATTGATGCTAATAGTATGCATTTCAGTTCTCGCTTCACAGCAGCTAATGTTTGGATCTGTGTGCAAGATCCTTGAAAATGCCATGTTTTGAATTTAAATAACAAGAGATACTTACTGTGGGATTATTAGAAGGTAGACAAGGCCAAATAAGGCAGCTAGAATTAGTGAAAGAACTACAGCACTGGTGAAGTATTCATCCTGAAGCTGGTGGTACTGTAAATAAGAGAAGATGCATGGAGACAGTTAATGAGGTGTCTCTACCATGCTTCCTGACTCTAAACTAGGAATAACTGTGAGGTTATTTAAATAATCTTTAAAATAAAAGATTTCCACATATTTACAAACTAAGGAATGAATGGATTTGAATTCACACTTTTGTCAGGAAAAACACCTGTTTTGGCATAAAAAAATTTGCACAAGTAGGAGAGACTTTTTTCCCTCACCCTTTATTGTTGACAAATAGCCAGTGTCAACTCTGCTGTTTGTGTTGCCAACAGAATGGCTTCTGCCAGTATCCCACAATGCCTGTCCTGATGGCTGTGCTCACCTTTGATCTCTGCTCCCCTGCAGGCATGCAGCCCTCCCCTTTCAAAGGTGGGAGGCATCTGACAGCTGAGTGAAAGCTGCTCCCTTTGGGGATCTGACAAAGAACAAATAATTGGAATGCTCCTGTTCTGCCCTGCACTGGGAACACAACAGCGGGCAGACTGCTGCTGCAGGGAGAGAGGGGAGAGACTGCTGTGATGCTTTGACATTCTTCAGCATGGAGAGCTCACAGAGCTATCATGCTGCTGCTCCTGGTTGCTGAAGAGGCTGTGAGAGGACTGAGGGGGGATTCCAAGATGTGCAGAAATCAGCTCTGCCTTCCCACAGCACTGCACTGTGGAACACATACGCAGCGTGCACTGCTCACACTATCAATGATGGTGCTTCCAATGTGGACATGATCTGTTGACAGAGGAAGCATTAAATATCCTCTTGAGATTTTTATCAACTTTTGTTGACAAAACTTGGTAGTGTGGAAAAATCTAGGCTGCTTTCAAATTGCTTTTCAGCTGAAACAGCTGAGGGATGAACAGTGATATAAGGCATGGTAATGCCTCTTATTGAGAGATAGGGGTGAATCCTTGGTATTGGTGTAACCAAATCATGAGTCTGAGAAAACAGTAAGCTGCACAGGTAAGGAAGAATTTGAATATGTTTTCTTGCTAAGTGCCATTTTCTAAGCTCAGTTTCAACAGCACAGACCTGAACTTGTTTCGCTCCATAGAGTTATTCAGGATTTACACCATGGCTGTGTCTACACTGCACCCCTTTTCCAGAAAAGGGATGCAGCTGAGACAAGTCGGAATTGCAAATGAAGCGGGGGATTTAAATATCCCCCGCTTCATTTGTATAAACAGGGCTGCCGCTTTTTTCCGGCTCGGGGCTTTTCTGGAAAAAAGCGCCAGTCTAGATGGGGATCTTTCGGAAAATAAAGCCTTTTCTGAAAGGTCCCTTATTCCTCTTAAAATCAGGAATAAGGGACCTTTCAGAAAAGGCTTTATTTTCCGAAAGATCCCCATCTAGACTGGCGCTTTTTTCCAGAAAAGCCCCGAGCCGGAAAAAAGCGGCAGCCCTGTTTATACAAATGAAGCGGGGGATTTAAATATCCCCCGCTTCATTTGCAATTCCGACTTGTCTCATCTGCATCCCTTTTCCGGAAAAGGGGTGCAGTGTAGACAGCCCACATGTAAGCATGCGATGCTGAGATTAGAGGGTATGCAGCTAAATAACACTGTGTGTGCACCATTGCAAAGTATGCACAGGCTGAGCCCAAGGACCTGCACACTCAAACTCTTTGACTTTGTAAGATATAAGTGTATTTTGGAACGTGCATAGTTAACAGCCCTGGTTCAGCACACTTCACAAACGGCTCTGGGGTTGCTACTATGGAATTCTTAGGGCAGGGGTCATCGCATTTAATTAAGCCTCCCTCCCCAAAAAAGGGCCCAGGTAATGGAATTTACAAACTATTGCTTTTCTTCTTCTCCCCAAATTAATAGAATATTGAAGCTATTTCTGTTGATCTCCATCTTCTCTCTTTGTGGTGCCTACTCTTACTAAAGGGAAGTGAGGGAGTGGGAGGCACAGAGTTGGTCTTTACATGACCTGAGGATTCCCTTCTCTCCAGTGGAATCTTTCGCTCTAGCTTTAGGGCAGCTATGAAGATGCTTTCTGCTGTACACCACACAAAACTGCCAGCTAAACAAAATGTCTTTTAAAAAATTTTCAAGATATATTTTCATAAGATTCCATATACCTTTTCCCAAAAACGAGCCATTCCTTTCTCTTTGGTAAACCTCACTCTTTTATACAAGAAGGGCCTGCTTACTTTTTAAACAATGAATATTAAATGATTAGCCTGTGGCATCTTGAAATGAATATTAATAGGTAAAAAAAAAATCTGTTTTGTGTGTGGGACTCTGATCAGAGGTGACAATGTACCCTTAACTGTATGGCTTATGTCTCAGAGAAAAAAAAAGGGGCTATTGCCACATTAGTCCATTACCCCCTTCTGCCTTCCTTCACTTAAAAAAAAAGAATTAACATGTGAATTAAGACTATTCTGATCATACCTCAGTCTAACTACAATGAAATCAGTGGTTTTATTCCAGATTTATATGCACAAACATGATGTCAGTTTGGCCTAGAGCATGAGGCTATAATCCTAACATGGGGGTCCCTTACCAGCTCCATGAGCAGAGGAAAACTTGTGTATGTGACTCTCCTGTGTAGATGCATGGTGCTTAGCTGTGTCCCCTAACTCCAGACTCCAAAGAATGGATCCACATTTGGAGACATAGCAGAGACTGTGCAATATGGGGGAGTAGTGGGCAGAGCAGAGCAGGCACCTTCTTTGCAGAAATTCTCCAGAAAAGATAATGTGGCCTGTTTTACAGAACTTAGATTACTCTAACAAACCACAGGACCTGTGGAGGCAAGTCTGTTGGCATGGATGTGTGAGCTCCTCCCTCTATATGGCCCTATGTATGGACCTTGCAGCATATTATGCAAAGCAGAAAATACAATTCCCATCCTCCCCATGGAATGACAGAGGAGGAAATCCCTCACTGGGATTTTCTCCATTTTAGCCCTATCTCTGGATTTCTGCAGGGGATGAGGGGAAATTTAGGCCCCATATTATTGCTTAAAAGATATTGAGCAAAACATGGACCTTATCTACAAAGTTGTAACTTCATCTAGCAATTATCTTCGATTAGTGAGGTTATTAAAATTCTCACTTACTTTATGCTCACGTTCAACTTGTTTATACTTGAGGGTAATGAAATTCAAATCAGCCATCTCAGACTCTGTTTGCCGGGCCTCTATCAAACGGCCGATGTATCTGTTTACTCGAGTTCCTGGAGTGGTGTATACCACATTGGTAGAAAAAGAGGAGCGATTCCTGAGTTTTTCAGAGGCTGTCCTTAATGCTCTCCTCTGCAGCAGAAAGAAACACAAGAATGACTTCTGTTCACTGCAATGACATTATCAGTGATTTGAAATGTCTCATAATTTTTATTGCCAAGTCCCTAGTCAGCATCGGGATTCAGTGGAGCTAAGCAAATACAAATTTGCAGAGAAATACACAGAAAGACATAGTCCTTGTCCCAGTGAAGTTACAAATCAGTTACAATTTCCCAACCCCCCCCAAAGTCAAAGGCAAGACTATCACTGACTTCACTTCTCATATTGTCCTCAGACAGCATTGTACTCTGTCAGTGTAGAGACAGTCAGTTCAACTCAGGGTGACTTGATCAGCGAAGCAAGAAGAAAATGGATCACAAATGAGAGACATTCAAGTGTGTGAATTAGCCTAAGTTTCCTCTAAGGGTGTGTCTAGACTACAGAGTTTTGACGACAAAAGTGGACTTTTGTCGACAAAACTATACCTGCGTCTACACTACCGCTGAGTTCTGTCGACATAACGTCGACAGAACTCAGCAGTTTTGTTGACGCTGGTAAACCTCATTTTACGAGGCATAACGCCTTCTGTCGACAGAGTTCTGTCAACAGAAGGTGTTATTGCATGTAGGGTTGTGTCTAGACTACAGGGTTTTGCCGACAAAACAGCTTGCTTTGTCGACAGAACTGAATGTAGTCTAGACGCTCTTTGTCGACAGAAGCTTTGTCGACAGTATCTGTCGACAAAACTTCTGTCAACAAAACCCTGTAGTATAGACGTACCCCAAATGTGCGCCCCTCCCTCCCCCTACAGCTGTCTATTAAGTCCCTTGCAGGAGCTCAGGGCTGCAGCAGGGAAGGGATGCCTCTCTCTAAGCCACACAATTACCACTGCCAGGGCAGAAGCTCCTCTCTCTGCCAACCCCAACCTTGAGTTGTTGGGGAGAGGCATCTCCACATGGAGCTTCCTCAGACTGAGGGACAGGCACCCTTCCCTTGGGGCCAGGTAAGAGGTGACTCCCTAGTGCCGGGGCAGCTTTGGCAGTAGAGAGGAATTGCCCTGGTAGTAGAAAGGCACCTCTCCCTTGGCCCCAAACTGATGTGGTGAACAATGGCTGAGGGCAGTTCTTTCTTCCCAGGGCAACCTGTACCTCAAACCCTTCCTCTTTAGCTCCACCCCAGAGTCCACACCCTCAGCCAGAGCCCTCACCCCGAACACCAACTCTCAGCCACACTCCAGAGCCCTCTCTACACGCCAATCCTTCAGCCCCACCCCTGCCACACATTGTCCATGTTGATGCACATAACAGAAGTCATTCCACACACGGACATAAAAAATTAAGAGGGAAACACTGGGGGAGACAACTCAAATTAACCTAGACTATTCATGACCCGAAAGAGTTCTGCTGTTCAGGACGAATGGAATGATGCAGTATTTGCAAAACAACTTTTCCTTCCCTCCCTCTCATCCCCAGCATAAGACTGCACATAATTTTACATCACAAGGTTAGCCACAAATATAGGGTTAATGAAGGGATTCCCTTATATTTAGATTTCCTCTATTACCATGTCTCATGTGTTACAATTGTTCTTGTGGCTGCCGAAATTAAAATGGAGTGAGCCATTTTAATACAGGAAATCAGCAACTGTGCACATGTAACTAAACATTTCATTTATTTTCTATTATGCATTGTACCTCTTGTTTATCTTAGACTTTTGTGATATCCCAGGTTCTTGCAAAGTTAAGTATTTTGTCAGAGATCGTTTTAAAGCTTTATTTTAGCACAGATACAGATAATACTGGGCCATCTGAAACAAAGTTTTGAGCTATATATGGCTTTCACAATTTAAGGAATAATGATCTCTGAAAGAAGCTTGGATAACAGCTTAGTTTGTGTAGATTAACCTCTTACACCGTGTACACTGAGATAAGAGTTCCATATGAGTTACAAACACCTAAAACACAAAGGTAAGTTAAAGATAATATTATGGCAATAACTTTAATATTCTGACTTTGGGGAATGTAAGTCAGTTCCCTAATATACTATATGTATGCATGTATAATATGCATACCTGCAAAAATACTGTCATATTGAGATATATAGAATATGGAATGGATTTTCAAACTACTCAAAGACATAATTTAAAATTATTATGTCATACGTAAGTTACATGCTCTTTCTATAAATGGCAAATGCAGACTGCAATAAGAGAGTTGAAGTTTAAACCCAAAAAAGGCTGTTTTATTATTATTATTATTATAATTTTCTGTCGGTACTGGGAGAAACAAAAAAAAGTTTCATAAATAGGAAATTTCTAATGCTGCTAGAAAGGCAGATTTGAAATTTTTTAAAGTATATCTCATTCATATTGGAGACAATCCAAGGCGTAGTTCAAATATCAATGAATGAACTTCCTGCTCTGCAGCAGCTGACATATTAGTAGCAACCTATGCAACATCACCACTCACTGGTAAAGTAAATTATTTGAGAATTCATCCAACTTTTTCCCCCACACCATATCAGCTTTATGATTGATAGTTACCATTCTCATGTTAATAGACGTGTATAGGCATACAAATATATCCACTTTCTTCATGCTATTACTGTATGTATAGTACTGTAAGCTGAAAGCCATGAAGGACTCATGAGACAAACTCCAGTGATTTGCAAAAACAGCTTTTTAAAATGTCTACAATGGCCTCAGGAACTCTTTTCTAAAGAACAAGTCCCAGATGGTAGCCACTTGTGACATACGTTTGTGTAAGTGTATAGGAAACTTTTCACCTGATATTTGCTACACTTCAGCTTAGTCTATACTGGGGAAATTCTGCAAAAAATTCTCATTATTGTTAGTGGCAACTCAGCTCCAGCAACAGTGGGCACTCTGGGATATCTAGCCCAGACAGAAAGCCTGGTATCACTTCCCTTTTTCAAGCTATGCTCAGAGAAAGCCTATTTTACATAGTGTCTGAAATGCACAGATATGGAACAGAGCTCTGCATAAGGATTAATGGTGCTATTACCCAATGAGCAAAAAATAGCATTAATAATGATGGGGATTCTTGTTTTTTTTTTGTAGACAAGGGATTATATTGACAGCACTGTCTATATTTAGTAATAACCTCTCTTGGTTCAGTTTGTGAGACAATATAGGGCCATGTACATTTTAAAAGCACATATTCAAGGAACCTTAGAGAATGCTTATTAAATTACCTTATCGTCATCCTCACATGTCATGACATTGGAGAAAGGTATCTCAGCTTTGAACATCTTACGACAATGCATGAGCTGGACCAGCAGGTAGCAGACTGTTTTGAACTTCATTCTTTTGGCAGGCTTTATGTCTGAGAGAATCAGCCCTGGAAATATCTGTCAGGCAATTAAAAAAAAATGAAAAGATACATATAGACTTCCATACTTCCATACATACATACCATCTGATGATCACAATAAGCATGAAAACATTATACATTAATATTGTGATCAAATAACATATTTTATTACCCACCATATTTTCTCAGAGGTAGAATATTTCTCCTTTTTAAATCTAAGGGTAACTAATAAGTGGACTAGTGGGACCAAACCTGGACCAACAGATGCTTTTTTACAGAACTCAAAATCTGTTAATTTACTTATTAACATGATTGATCAAGAAAACTGACAAAATAATTATCTACTCTGAAGAATATGCTTAACACACTGGCTACATCTACACTGTCGGCTTTTTGTGCAAGAACTGTTTTGCTCAAGCGTTTCTGCGCAAAAGTTCTTGTGCAAGAGCACATCCACACTGCCATGTAGTTTTGCACAAGAGATATGCTTTTGTGCAAGCCCGTCCATGGCAGTGCAGATGCTCTCTTGGGCATGAAAGCTCTTATGGCCATTTTAGCCATTGGGGTTTCTTGTGCAAGAAACCCCTGTTGCCCATCCACACTGCCTTCTTGCGCAAGAGGGCGTATTCCTCGTGGGAAAAGGAATAACTCCTGCACAAGAAGCCCTCTTTTCTGATGCTTTACTGTAAAATTACTTGTGCAAGAACGTGTGTGCAGTGTAGACGCTCTGCAAGTTTTTGCGCAAGAATAGCTGTTCTTGCACAAAAAGCCTGGCAGTGTAGACGTAGCCCTCATGTTTAACTCTTGCACAAAAAGCCTGGCAGTGTAGATGTAGCCCTCATGTTTAACAACATACCTAATATTCAAAACTGATTTTTTTTAGAAACCCAGAGTATGAAACACACATTAGCAACAGAACTAGAAGAGAGACATTATTTGTATTTCTTCTTTTACTTTATATTCATTTGACTTATTAACCATTTTTTCTTAAAATAAAACAGTATATAAGTATAAGCACAAGTGAGCTTTTATCTTTATACCCTTTGTTTTCATACTATTTCTGTCATGTTCTTCTTAACTTCACTCTCCCATATTAGCCACTAGAGTTTTCTTTAAAATAGGTAAAGTTCCAGGCAGTGCATTTTTTGTGACGGTACCATCATTTATTTTCCAAGCACACAGTAAATTAATGGGATTTTCCCCCGCACGTACTGGCACCTGCTTTCCTGGCGCTGCTCGGAATGTAAGGCATTTTTTTTCCAGCTCCCAGCATGGGGTTTAGCTCTTAAGTGGGCCGTGACCACATATTTGCCCCTCCTTTTTTTTTTTTTTTTTTGCTCAATAAGTTTGAGCCTGGAGTACTGGCAGCACTGATTCCAGGGTACAAGAACACATCCATGGAGTCACGATCAGGAGCATAGGTAGGGGACACAACATTTTTGTACTCTGTATCTTGTTTTTTTCATGACTGGGAATAATAACGGAGAGGAATTCTGGGCTCGATGTTTATTGGTTTACTTCTTTCAAAACAGAGGCCTAATTCAGAAAAAGCACTTGCTAAACTTTTGAACATGTGTCTAACACACATTTATTTTGATTGAATGTAAAGATATGCTGATTAGAACCAAGACCACAACCCCTTGTTTCATTCTCAGGAGCTATGCAACTTCATCTGCACAGATTATTTATACTTCTGGCCTGTGATAACCTGCAAAGAAGGATCTGTGAGAATTCTGAAAGGCTACACTGTCTGCCAGAAGAGTAACACAAAAAAGTACTACCACTTTCATCAGGTTACTTTGCACCTATTTTGGGGGCTAAAGTCAAAAGACACAGAGTTTGATCCATATACCTGAAACATATTCTCAACCCCAAACAAAGCTCAGATCTTTGTCCTCATGATTCAAGGTATATGGTCACTGAAAGGCACAAAAATGATTTGGTTTATAGTTGCCATCAAGAGTTGAGAAGTTAAATGGTTGTTTATTGCAGCATTATGGGTCTAAGATATGTTCACTACTGGGATCTGCCCATGCCTATCAGGATTCAGGGAATCAAACCCTTACTTCACCAAAATAATTTCTTCTATAACTCCCCTACCTACACCAACCATAGCAAATACTAAGAGAAGAAAGTTGGGACTAATTAAAGGGAATCCAACAAAGTGATGGAGAGGAGAGGGCTACAGATGAGGAAAAGGCCTGGCATACACAGAGGGCTGAACTTCTCTATATCTGGACAGCACTGATCCCATATGCTGTAGCAGTGGGTGAGTCAGATAAAGAACACTAAATGGAAATGTCATCTTGGGCGCTAAAAGTCCTACCTGCACAAGAAAACATTTGGTAGAAGATTCCGTTACTTGTGTATATCCATTTTTGAGTGCTCGATTTAATGGCTGCCATTTAGGGTTTGATATCTAATCTACATGATGCAATGGTATCAACTGCTTCATTGCATGAAATCTGAATGAGCAGGGCACAAAGGAGGAAGTAAATCAGAACCGATACTATGATGAACATGTGTATACTTGGTCATCTGAATGTAGAGAAACAGGGACAAGTTTTCCTCAGTATTATATGCAGAGTTGATGCAGAATTTATTTCTGTATCCAGATTAAAATATGTATATTTAGATATTGAGAAATGCATAACATTTTATAGTACAATACAGAGCTTTGCCTAACATGCTGTATGCTACAGTTCTGTCGACTATATGTTGCATTGTGACAACCAATCACAGAAATCAATGTCTGTTGAAATATCAGCATAACATTTCAATTAGGCTGTGTCTACACTGCACCCCTTTTCCAGAAAAGGGATGTAGATTAGACACTTTGGAATTGCAAATCCACGGGGGATTTAAATATCCCCCGTGGCATTTGCATTTACATGGCTCCGCTTTTTTCCGGGTTGGGCATAAGCCGGAGAAAAGCGTCAGTCTAGACGCGATTCTCTGGAAAATAAGCCCTTTCAAGTAGGAATAAGAAATCCTCCGGAAAAGGGCTTATTTTCCGGAGAATCGCGTCTAGACTGGCGCTTTTCTCCGGCTTATCCCCAAGCCGGAAAAAAGCAGCAGCCATGTAAATGCAAATGCCGCGGGGGATATTTAAATCCCCCACGGATTTGCAATTCCAAAGTGTCTAATCTGCATCCCTTTTCCGGAAAATGGGTGCAGTGTAGACACAGCCTTTATGTATGACACAATCTTTTATTAAATTTAACAGGAAAAGTTCCTGAATGAGCACAATTACTGCATTGTGTTTGAAGGATGATTAAAGTAAATCTGCATTATATTGCACATCTGACAGTACTTCAATTTAAAGGACTATAGTGTGCATGTTATTCTGCTGTACAAGGAGTTGATTACATGTAAGTTAGAAATAGTGAAAAAAATCTCTTAAGTGGCTTCTCATATAATCTCTCAGTTGAGGAATTTCTGGCAAGTGACTCACAGCTGGAAAGCAATATTTTGCCCAGGGGACATTGTACAGTGACATTCACTTCACTAAATATCTTGAACACATTGCTTAGTTGTTCATACCAAATAAGATATGTTTGGGCATAGAAAGCCTTTAGGTCAGAATATGGCAAACAGAATCTACCTTCAGATCAATGGTGTTCAAGGCCCCGAGCTAACAGAGTCTTTGTGTAGCTAGCTGTGATGTTGCTGATTAATCCCATCATTTTTAGTAACACATCCAAAGCTTCCGTAGAAATAGAAGTATTTTGCTGCATACCTTTCTCTAAACCCACTAAAATGTAACAGCTGTTTTTTCTGCAATTAACTCCAGTATTTTTGTTCTATGTTCTAAACCACAGTAATAGAAAGGAGACATACAGTGATATTTCAATATTTCTAATGGTTACAATACAAATAGACCAAAGGATCACCATTGGATCTCAACTCCAGAACAACTCTTCCCCTTTCCTCTGTCTGGCAGACAAGGTCAAACCTCTTCACCTGGAAGTCGCACAGTGAACAGTGTAGTGATTTTTGCGCCACACCTTCATTTTGGGGGCCATAGTGCAGCTAATTCTGAGGTGATCTAAGTAAAGAATGAGAAGCTGTTTTGCACCTCAGAGCACCCACAAAAAGAAACTGTAAGGATTTATAGGATATACTGGAATGTGCTAATAGAAGATTTTGCTAGCAAAGCCAAGAGGGCATGTATGAGACAGGCAAGAAGAGGGCCATGGTCTCTCTCTTTCCCCCAGAGGTGCTGGGAAAAGTGTGCTTTGGAGAGTACAGTCTAAACTTCTGTCAGTGTATCATATTTCCTGTGAACACTACGCTTCTCTGAATGCTGAGAATCATTATGATTTAGAGAGAAATAATGTCTTCTGACAACTCTTCTCCGGCTGTGTACCTCCTCCTATTCTCCCAACATGGCTCTCCCTCAGAAGAGCCCTAATATGCGCAGGTGATTTTTAAAAGGCAGCTTCCAGAATGTATAACAGATTATTTAATAGGGCTTCAAAGCAGCAGATGGAGCAAACTGTTTATTTACCAGTCTCTAAACATTGTTGGGCTCCTGCTATAGCACAGACATATGGGCATTGCCACACTTAAAAAAACCCATATAATTAGGCCATCTTTGATAGGCACTCCCCTAAACTTGGCAGCTTTATTTTACTTGGGCACTTCCTTTTTAAGTGCATCTGAATTGATGCCTCGTCGTTTGCAACATCATTTTAGATGGCTTCTTTGTAGTAACATAGCCATCAAATCAGGGTAAGAATGAATAAGTTCTATCAGCCCCTTATAAAAGTTGCCAGTCTATTTACAGCTTTGAGAGGTTAGAGAAATTCGAAAGTACACCGAAGCATGAGTAATACAATAATCAAAATTCTGGGAAAACACCTCTCTGTTTGCATCTCTTGTAATACCCAGGTGCTTATCTTGGCTCCTCAAAAAAAAATGCAATTCATTTTGCTATGGTCAGCAATAGGGCATGAAAAAAAATCACAGAAAAGGAGGTACCATTGATATTGGTCATTGATAGAAGGCTTCCATGCTTCATTGTCTCAGGGTATG